ATCAAAAACAAATTTGAGTGGAAAATTAAAGTTATAAATTTTAAATGCACACAAAGGAGTGAATTTGAAAGTTATCAAATAAGCCAAAGTGTTGGTAATTTTTGCAGTTTTGCAGAAGAATTTTTATACCGTGCAGAATGGGAATATGATGTTTGGTTTTGTTAGTATTAATTATTACAACTGAAGTATTGCAACTTAAACACGTAATTTAGCTTAAAATTTATTTGAACTTAATTTTCAAATTTATTTTGATCATGTATATTTCATGTGTCAAAAGTCTTTAAAATGAACTTAATTCTCATCCTATTTATTAACACAAATTTTTTAAAGAAGAAAAGCCACATTTGTTTTGCTTAGTTTCACACGAAGATACATGCCTATATATATATATATATAGAGAGAGAGAGAGAGAGAGAGAGAGAGAAAGAGGAGTTATGTTTACTTGCAGACTTTTTTTCCCCTCCTTTTTACTAATATTTTAGTATGAAAATCAAGGAATCAATTTAATTTTGAAGGATGTGATTACAGTAAGACCATAACCAATCAAAAATATTCATGAATGAATTACTGTTAACTATCATAGTATTATTATATAAAAGAAACCTACATTCCAATAAGAATGCTTAGTAACATTAACATTTCAGTATCTGATAATAATTTTCATTCCTACTTTCCTATACCTTGAATTTCATTCTTATTATTGCCCACTGCTATTCCCTAGACCTCAAAGCATTTAATGCATCTGGAACTGCAATTTGTGTCGTCTTCTACAGCATGCAAGTTATCACCACTCAGTTTGTACTACCACGAGCAATGATCTTCAGAATTACCGTATTGCGTTGCATATTCCACCCCACCCAGCTTTAGAACCAGATTCTGAAAATTTAAAAAAAAATATTTGCATAATTTTCCCCCTTTTAATGCATTTAGAAAATGAATATCCCAAGATTTTAAAATGGATTTATCGACATAATGATTGTTTTCGTCATACTAACAAAGGCAAACTTTTGTACACTAAAGGCCCCGTTGAATCTTTCTCTTCTAACTGTTGAATATTATGTCAGCCTAATACAAAAAATGATCTATGATAGTGAAAGCAAATACCAACTGCCATTCACTGTGCAATTTTGCCATATCAGCTGCATATTCACCTTCTCTAATTATTTATGTATGATCTGAGGCCTAAGGAGTTGCAAGAACAACAATGAGAATGAGAGAAATTCAAATTATAAAGAAATGAGATAACTTATTAGATGTTGCAATTATGTGTATTCTTATTGAAATAGAGGTTTCTTTTAAAGAAATAATATTGTGATAGTAGTAGTTTATCCATGATTACTTTTAATTTGTTATATTTCTACTGTGACTGTGTACTTTGGAAATTAAATTATTCGTTTAATTTTTCTCTCTTAATTTTCGGAAGATAAAAGTAGTAAAAATAAGTGGGAATATGGCTTCAAGAGCATTAGATATCCCCATTTTATTGAAGCTGTTCACTATTATTGTTTCTTTAATAATAGGCCATGCGCTCAAAATCCACTAGCAAATCAGTAAGATGAAAACGACCGCTATGCGGACGAAAAATTTAGGGTAACTTGTTTTGCGAGTGCCTTAAAGAAGACAAACATTACCTAAATCATTAAAACAATTTCAGAATCCTGTTGCTAAAAGAAAGCTAGTGGGAAAATATTGTCCGAGTCCCAGTGATTCATTTGGACCAATATGTAATATTGTTTTAGAAATTTAAGGTAATAAATATAATATTTTTCGAATGCTAAAACAGTTCGAGAAATTTATTCAAGTTCTGAATTCTGAATATAAGTATACTGTATATTATATTTAATAACTATGGTGGCTTCATTTATGAAAAGATTTGCATATTGGCTGTTTTTGTACAATGAACCTTCTCTAAGCTAGCTATGCGTGATTCCTGAAGATTTTGATCTTCAATGATAGTGGGCATCTTAGAGAAGTTATGTTTACTAATTAGTTATTTTATGAGGAATGCTGGTTAAATTTAAAAAGTGATTGACTGAGGTAGCTTGTCGTAATGAGACGGTTCACTGTAATCCAATTTTTTAAAGTATTTAAGCTGTTCCTAATTACTTAAGATATTATAAAGAAATATGATTAAAAGTGTTATATAAGCACATGTTTAAAACATCTATTAAAATAATTTTATAAGGTTTTTAAGAGCATGATTATGATTTTAAAAGAAATGTTTTTTTTCTTTATTTAGGAGACATGGTTTACAAAGAGGGGCAAAACCATTCATTTTTTCCAAGCAGTTGAAACAAATTTTTATGAAATGTTATATTGTGTTATATTTTAATTAATTCTTTTTTCAGGTTTTATGTAAAGTTTATGAATTAAGCAATAAATTAATTTTACTTCTGTATTTTAATTAGCATATTATTTGCTTCATAGTGTTTCACAATAAAATTATAAATTCAATAAACTTCTTAATTAACATACTGTAATATATATATAAGAGAGAGAGCATAAAGTTTGTTTTCTGTTGTCACATGTATATTTAATAATTTTGTATGCAAATCTCGAAATTTATAATAACTAGGAATACTTTTTGTATCACTTTCTAAATGGTAAATATTAAGCTTAGGCTTATTACATATCATGTTATTAATTGTTATTAATATATTTAATTAAAATGTTATTAATATATTTATATATTAATAACATTTTAATTAAATATTATATTTAATGCATTTTAATTAAATATATTAATAACATATATATAATGTTATTAATATATTTAATTAAAATGCATTAAATTTTAAGCTAAACAGAAGTATTAATTTTTGAAACAAACTTGTTAAAGGCATAATTGTGTTCAGCATCAAGAATTTTAATGGAAGCAAGGCTTTAAAAATTAAGGTCAGTTGGTGAAGTTTTATGCTTATTCAAAAAGCATGATATTAGGGTTTTACTGAAAGACTTCTATCTGTTAATTCAAAGGAAATTATTTGAAGGTAAGGTAAAAACGTTATGCAGTTACCATCTATTATTTCAAACAATAGCAGACTGTTGACAAACACTGAGTGCTGATAAGAATAAAAAGATTAGTTGGACGTTGTAATTCAAGCGTATGAACACAATTTTGAAATCCATTTAGTAACAAAATGAAGTTCATTGCTATATTGAATTCTTTAATTTACTGAAAATGTCATTTTTTAGAATGAGAGAATATAATATTTTTGAAACATAAAGAACAGCTGTTCTGAGTTCTTCATAGAAATTTTTCACAAAATGTCTTTTACTGTAATAATAGGGTCATACGAACTAAAGCAACATGTGTCTATTTTAGGTAAAATTTCTAAAGAGAAAGTTCTAGAACATATCTTATTAATTGACACTAAAACATGCAAATAAAACACTGTTTTTTTCCAGCTATTTTACAGGGCAAATATAAAGTCCAGATGCCTTCCATTATTTTATGTAAAGGATATACATGTGATTTAATAATTAAGTTTTAAATCTGGGAAAATGCCTTTACAACTGTCATCTATTATTTCGATTAATTAATCTATTATTTCAATTAATGGACAGTAGCAGAAGAGATTAAAAAGCATTTATGCCTAAAAGAATTATATGTTGTAATTTAAATGAATAATGCAATTAAGCATGGAAATAATTAATTTTGGATAGCTTGTGATAACTGAATTTAAGTTCATTGTTGAGTTATATCTAATTTTTTTTAGAATTTGAAAAAATATTTATTTAGAATTGTTTATTGAAACAGTTTCATTAAAATATTTTTTACTGTAATCATATCCAGTTACAGTCTCTTTAGATTACACTGTTGGGGAAAAGGAGAATTATTTGGTTTAGTTAATTTAAGTATGGCAAAGCACACTACTGCCTAAGCGGAGGGGGATGCCTTTGTGGAGAACTTTCGAAGGGAAACTAGCTTATATACATGTTACACATGGGGAAAACCACGAAAATGCCCATGCAACCAGCCCATTCGCGGGATTTGAACCTCGGATTGAACTACCAGTGAAAAGGAGGAATTCTAGAACATTACTAATTTATTGCCAAAAACCCATTAAGTATATACACAAGTTTTTTTTTCCCAGCTATTTCATGATGCATATGTAACTTTCAGGTGTCTTAAAATTCAATAAAGGAAAGTAATGCACATGTAAGAAAAACATAAAATTTGAGCTTCTTTTTAACATTGGGAATATTTTGAAAGAAAATGTTGTATATCTTTTAGAAAATCTAGGGTATTTTTCCTTAAAAAAACTTAATAATTAAAGTTACATAACTTCCCTTTCCCCACAAATAAATGCAGCATGTTTTGTTACAAGCAGTAGCTGTAGACATTTGACATGAAACATATGTTCTACATGTGTAATTATATATAGTAATATTACAATCAAAATATTTAATATTTGAGAATACATCATTTATGTATTTTGCATAAGACAAATATGTTCTATATGCATAATTATTTGGAAGAACTTTTAAGTAAATTATCTGTAACTTTTACATATATATCCTTTAATATTTCACATGAAAATACATGTTGTTCTTACATAATCACTTGCAATAACCTTACAAGAAGAACACTAGTAATCTACAAATATTCCCTTTAGTAATCCACATACAAAAAGTACGTTCTACTTACACTATTATTTCCTGTAATCTTTACAGATGTATACATTGGTAAATCACATATGAAAACCGTGCTATACTTACACGATAATTTCCTGTAACATTACAGATCAAAGATCTGTAACCTTTACAGACACATGCTTCGGTAATCAACATACAAAAACTTTCTTTTGCCTACAGAATATCTTCCTGTAACATTACATGTGAAACAGCTGCAACCATTACAGGTATAATCTTTGTAAAGTTACTAAGAATATTCCTGTTTTGATTACTCAAATAGTTCATGGCATCCCAGTTTCCACGACTTTTCTTAGTAACCTTACAGACTTCTTTTTTTACAGTGTGGTACGTGTTAGTCGAAAGGTTGAGAACCGCTGATCTATGCAATTAAAACCGACGGGAAAAAAAAAAAGTAGTTGTTTTGCCTAACTTTAAATTGGATTCAGCAGTATTAAATTTATAAGAGCCAGTCAAATTAGTTGCAATGAAAAAAAAATAATAATTGCAGAACATTACTACACGCGTTTTCAAAAATATGATTTTAGAAGTCACTGAAATTAAAAACTATTTTTGTGAATCTGCAAATAATAACCATTTATTTAAATAGTGTACATTTACACATTTTTCAGTGAAAAATTCGTAAATCAAGACTTTGGCAGTTGTAAAATTCAAGCCATGCAATAAAAGAAAATGATATTTTGCTTATGCAGTTTATTTAAATTAGGCAAATTGATAAATACATGAGCTAAAATGTAAACAAATCTATCATTAGAAATGATAATTAAAAGGGTTATTGCTATACATTTTATAACCGAGACGTTTTAATTCCAGATAAAAAAAGATGCATCGACACTTTCAATTTGGAGAACGACGTGCGGTGTATAATTCCGCAAAAATTTGATGCACTGTTCTTAAAAAAATTATGAGAGCAGAAGATACCAGAAGCGCATCTAGTATAAAATCACAACCATGATCTTTTACAATACAGAATGCTATTATTGCTGTCTGAATATTTTCCGTATTTCGCAAACTGTAAACAGCGTACAAGGTCACTATAAGAAAGTTAAAGACCCAAAAACTGGCTAGGATGTCTTGAGTACAGTAGAAGTAGAAAAATGCGTGTTCCATTGCTAGGAAATAAGCCAATTTCTCCTTAAAGGCAAGCGATGTCATGAACAAAGCCATTAATCTTTTGAATGTGCAGAATAAGAAGTTTACCAGTTCGGTTTGAAGACATTCTGGAAGCAGCAAGAATGGTTTCATGTAGCTGAAGTCTGTAGCATTGGTCTTTATCTGCAGAAAGGGAAAATGAGAATTAGTATGATTTATACCGAAAACTATTGCTAACTGAAAGTCAAACTTTTTTTTAAATCTATATTTTAGGGAATATGGTTTCCTGCGAAGGTATAGTTTTCATTTTCAAGATTTTTTCACTAGTTACAGAGTCATGTCAATGAAGGGTGTGATTATTTTTCTAATCTTTAATAGATTATACTTGAAAAATATAAAACTGGATTTTAAGGTACAATTAATAGCCAATAAACGACTTTTTTTTTTTTTAATGCATGTCTATTACTGTCAAATTACTGCCTCTTAATAAGTTTGAAAGATGTTCTCTTTTTTAATATGCATGAGGTATAGACCAAGATCAAGACTTAAGTCCTTCAAATGTTAGCATACTCACCAGTGGCCGAGAGGCTAAGACTGCTGAACACTGGTAGTTCGATTCAGGTTCAGGTCTCGGCGAACAACCTGACATCTTTGGCGTTTTCGTAGCTTTTTCCATGTGTAATGAAATTCAAGCCATTTTTTCGAAGTCCTCCATGAAAGCATTCTTCTCAGCCAACTATCCGTCGAGTGCTTTGTCATAATTAAAACCCAACGCTACAGCACAATCAAATGTTTTCTTTCAGCCGCAAAGATGTTTGAAAAAAGTAGACTCAAACCTCACTGACCTACTTGTATATCTGTATATAAAAGATAAAACAGTGCGCAATCAGAAATGATCATGCTTCTGTAGCTGGAAAACCGAAATGTCACAGAAAACATAAAAGCAAGTCTGAGTTTTGCTGTCCGACTTCTTAATTCGCCACCCCCCCCCCTCTCGGGAGAGAAAAAACTCAGAATGGCATATCCTATCATTTCTAACTGTATATAAAAATGTATTCCTGCTTCTTTAATGAACTTTAATAAACATCTCGCTGCATACCAAAATAACCAACAAAGTATGAAGTTAATGAATTGTAGGAAACTGTGTGCGAGTATCTGTCTTGGGAAAAAGTCGCCTTTAGAACACTTCCTAACGAAAACTCGTTCATATTCCCACAACGCGTAGGAAAAAATAACACGAAATCATCCACATGCAGCCAGTCCATTCACTAGGATTTCAACCCAGGTCCAACTGCCGGTGTTCAGGAGGTTTTATTCACTCAGCTATCAATTGATTTGATTTGTTTGATTACGGCAAAGCGTTCGAGGGCTATCTGCTTAAGGGAAGGGACGCCTTAGTGGAGGTCGTTCTAAGCGAAACTGACTCTTATACACGTCACACATGAAGAAACTGAAATTTGGTATTATACTTAATTGGTTTATACTGAAATTTGGTATTTCATATCCTGAACTGTGTATCGGTTATTTTGGAAATATTTTCTTGAGTCTAAAAAAAAATTGTCCACATGTATATTCGGAATTTAAATTTCATAGTAAATGAAACTTGATTAGTCTGAGTTATGCATCATTATACACTTTCCGGTAAACCTAAATTTCGAATATAACGTACTTGTTGAACGTAACTCTAAATTCATTTTAACATTCGCTTTCATGACGAAGCATTCATCTCTGACGGAACTCTTCAAATTTAAATAATTTTGGGTTAAATGCGTACTAGAATTCATATGATTTCCCGAGGGTCATAAACTCAGTCACGCACAGTTCTTTGACCTTAGCAGAATATTTGTTGCATATCAGTAACAGTTGACTAATTAAAGCGGAATGAGGCGTGTGATGGCATTTTAATTTTCGACAATTTTATGATATCCCATTTCTCAAAATTAAATATTTTTAGCAGGTATATTTATAAAATGTTAAGAAGAATTACGATCGGTTATTCGTTTTTTAAAATGCGGGAAATGTGCTGCTGGCTAAGTTAACCGACAATGCATGAAAATCAGGCATTCTAATAGAATGATTAGGGAATACGTAGAATGCCTGACATTTTAGGCAAAGTATGAAACAGACTATTTTAATACTACGCATGCCTTCCCTAGGCATTATAGAGAATGACAAATTTTATTTAGGGAAAGCATTAAAAGTGACATGAAAAGTTTTCATTTTGTGTAATGATAAATGCTATTTAGGCAAAGTGATAAAGGAGTATCATGAAAGGGCTTTACTGAAAAGATGCATTTGAAATTGAAAGGGATAGAAAAAATTAAAAATAGGAGTTAATTATTAAGCAAAACAAGATGAAATAAAGTGCTTCCCATTTGTTCCAATAAGGAAGAAATCAAAATTACGAGCCTTGTCACGTGACATTAGAAATGGAACATTTATGCTTTTATATTTATACTATTTATACTTCGGGAACATTTTATACTTTGACTATTTCGCCTTTTGGCATTGCATAGAATGCTTGGAAAATATGAAATATTAAATCTTTTAACACTTTGGATCTTCAGTGTTCGGCTTTTCATATATTGCCCGAGAATCCTACACGATGCTTAACATATACAAATTTTACACACCATATTCCATATACAAATATAGAGATAATAGCATTAGATAAGAGATGAGGGCTGAGACAATTTAACAAACATCAGCAATGTTCACTGTGAACAGCACAATAGTAAACTGTCTCCAGGAAGTAAGATTCATGACAGTTGTCAGTTAACTTTAAAATCATTAAGTCATTTTTTAAAAATATTTAATCTACTGTAGCCGCTGCCAAATTTTGTAGTTAATAATTACATCAAAATACTCGTGACTCGGCTTATAGAAGGATACCCTTCTTGGAGGTCTTTCTAAAGTATATTTGTATTTCACGCAAAAGCCAAGAAAATACCTATGTAGCTATTTCATTCTGATACTGATTATCGAATTTTGAAGCAAGGATCCATATTTCTCGCCTTGGCCACTTGGCCATTGATAACATTCAGCGGAAATTAAATGCTGCATTTCTGAATGACTATTTATTAAAATTTGAAAAGTTATTGTCAATAACCTTTTAACACTTTGACGTGGCAAGCTGACATACAGATCAATTAGTAAAATCTATGAAAACAGATAATTCATCATTCAGAAATGCTGTATTTAAATTCAAATGTATTAAATATACTAAATTATTCGACTACGTGGCATTGCAAAAGATATTAGATTATATTTTTTTATAAATATTAAGAAACTAATCCCCCCCCGCAAACATTCACAAGGAGTAGCTAAGTATAGATTTATTATAGAACTGAAGAATGAAAACTGTAGTTAATTATTTATTAAGTACTGTACTATTATTAACTGCAACTACTATTATTTATTAACTATTATAATACAAGGAAACACTCTTGAATTTAAAATTGAGATTTGGCAACAGCATCTTATTAAAATTCTGCAGCATATTAAACATGTAACTTTTGTTCTTGTTTCAACGAGCGAATTCCAGAATAATACACGCACATTCTTCAAAAAGCAGATAAAGTAAAACAAATACCTCTGGTAGATCAACAGGCGTTTTTGAAGTGATATTAAATAAGGCATTGTAGTAAGACATCCTGATATTCTTGTAAAGTCAGACTTGGATATGAAACGTAACTGTAATTTCACTTGAAAGCTAGAACATGAAAGAATGTTTTACATGAGTACCTAGTTTTGAAAATCAAGGAACAAATTATTTTCACAGACACGAAAATCTGAATAAAAAGCCATAATTACTCAGTTGCAATTATTTGCTATTTAATTCTGAAAAAGTTTCGGGAGCTAATATTGTAGAAAAAAATGAGTGTTCTCGTAGAAGGCATCTTCGCCTTGTTAAGAGAAACTGGCAGTACTAGATGCAAAAGAAAACAAAGGAATCTATGCAGCCTGACCCCCCCCTCTTTTTTTCTCGCTGGAATACAGAAAATGATAAAATTTGTAACTCAATAACATTGATTTTGAACCTCGGAATCAAAAATAGTGATTTCAGAATTTATGCCACTCGATGACTGGTTTGCATAAATGGCATATTATTATTAAAAATAACTATGCGATTATTTAGTTGATGTATGTTCGATATTGTCCAGTTTGCAAAATTTGTTAGAAAATTTATATTTGAAATATTTTTTGGCATTTTCTGATAATTTACATCTTTAATTTCATCATTCGGTAGAATTCCTCTGTTTTGGCATATCTTGTACATGCACAACGGTTCTTAATCTATGCATAAAGGAATAAAGGGAATTAAAATGTGTATGGGGAATAAAAAGCAAAATCTAGCATAATAACTGATAATGAAAGAAATGTAAATGGTATTTTTAAAATGTCAGATTAGTTCCTTTAATATAATTTCGGAATACATTTTTCATTCCAAAAACTTCAGCATGAGAGCTATTCGTCTTATAAAAGATTAATTTCTACCACAGAATGCAGCAGAGCTCACCCGCGGTTCAGCGGTAAAATCTCTGAACACTGGTAGTTCGACCCGAGTTTTGGCGAAACTGGCTGCATAGGCGTTTTCGCGGTTTTCCTCGTATGTTTCCCTTACAAAGGTTTCCACGATGACCTCCCTAGCTTTAAACATATAGCTTTGTCAGAATTACCAAAATATCGAACGCAAATTAAAATAAAGCGCCTGCTAAATACAGTAATATGTGTCTCGATTCGAAACCAAACTTGCCCATCGGTGGCCAAGTGGGAAAAGGATTGAACGTTGGTAGGTCATTTCGGGCTCTAATTTCAACAAAGAGGCTAGCCGTCAAAAATTTTAGCAGTTTTCTTCATGCATAATATGAATACGAGCTAATTTTCCTTAAAAAGTAGGCCATGAAAGTACTCATCCCCTTAGGTATATAGTCCTCGTGTGCTTTACCGCATTCATTTATATAACATACAATACAGAGATGAAGGAATAGCTTTAGCAGTATCAAGTTATACCTTATTCTTCATTTTAAACATTAACGGAAAACTTTTCTATATCTGAAATTTTACTATGTTATTTTTCAATTCCTTGACATTGTTTACATAGCATTAAGAAAAATATTTCTAACTCCATTAAGGTATTCAGAATTTTATAAAAATATAGCTTTGCTTCATACTGAAATTCAAATGAAAAAAGATTCATTAGAAGTGTTATCAATTACTGTTTCCCAAAAGAAATTAAAGTATCTGTCAGAAAAAAAGAATTACTTGAACCTAGCTCCAGTGCGCTCCGGCTGAAATTAAATATTGCTTTTTATAGTCTGATTATAAATAACGCATATAAAGTTACTTCTTAAAACTGCCAGTAGCAGTTTTTTTTTTCATTTGCATGTTTAAGAATTGCTGTGCATTTGAGGGCTTCTTACAGAATTAAAGACCTAATAAACTATAACAGTATTATAAAGTAATGGAGAAAGTAACATATTTCTGGACTTATATAACGACAAAGCATGCGAAGGTTATCTGCCGTAGGGGAGTGATGCTTTTATTTTAAGATTCGATATTCAAGTTACTCAATGTTATTAAACAAATCATTCTCTTCCTTCCAATGGCGAAAAATAGCCATTACTAAAGCCGGAAACTGTGGTCACACTTTACATCCATGTCTTCTCCAAGATCCGGGCCCTTCTGTATGAGAAATCAGAGTCATTAAACACATTCCCATTTGGACGACACTTAACCCGCTCTTTGACAACTGTTCGACATACTGTTAAAGTATTTTTTAAGTTATCTCATGTCTCATAACCGCCATTGATGTTCGAATTAAATATTATTTATCCCGAAAACTACTATTTTTTAGCGAGTAAAGTATGAAGTGAGCAATGAAAAGTGAAATTTTTAAAAATCACAGCTTAAATTATAAATTTCAGAAGCAAAATATTCAACATTGTTCACTGCTGTAAAGTAAAACAGAAAACGCATTATTATTGGGTATTAAATACTTATCTGATTTAATAGTTAATTTATCAATAAACTGAATTCGATTATTTTTATTGCATCCAAAAACCATTCACCGATCGTGAGAGGCCTTCACAAGAGACTTTCTAAGGAAAACCGCCTCGTATTATTATTATGCAGCCTGGCCGTTCGACTAGATTGTGGTTTCGTCAACTACTTGTGATCAGTAAATTTGGCACTTGGCCCCTGGTGGGCCAATTGTTGATGAAATACACATTAAAATTCTCATTTTGTCAGTACAAAAACTGAATGTCAAAATGAAAAGAAGAAACGGTGATTTTTAGTAGTTGTATGAGCTTAAAAATTTGTTTAACTAAGTTTTTCTTTAATACATATTTATATATCCGAGAATTAAAGTTTTTTTTTTTTTTTTTTCCTGAAACCCTAAGTTCTCCCAAATGCCATAAGGAACGGGTGACTTTTTTTTTTTAGTGCCAACATGACTATCTCACTTTGTACCTTGTATTCCTTAACCCTGCAACTGTAACGGGGGAGGGGGTAGAAATACTTATTATTAAAGATTAAAATCAAAACTTATTGTAAAAAGTGCTACAAATTCATGTGTATTAGCCATATGTGCTCTATCTGCGCAGAGTGTCTTCAGCCTCAAGTGACAGATGGCGAAATCGAGTAAGCAGGTTTGGAAGGTGTAAGTTTTTTAGAAAAAAAGTGTTTTTGTTCATTTATGTATGTTATAATACGATTTTAATTGCTTTATTCACACTTAGTTCACATTAAAATTTTGAAAAAATGTTTTGGAGCAATGGCGTTATGTTATTCTGTCCTCAAATACAAATTTGGTAAGCTTTTATCATGGGGGTGTAGGGACACCCCACGTTGCAGCTTACGAGGGAACTGTCTACGTTACAGCTGCAGGGTTAATATACATCCAACCTGAAATCGGGTCAGTCTTCCGGAGTAACAAATTGGAAAGTCATCTTTCTATGCAGAATTTTACATACATAAGCCTTAGAGAGGAATGTTTTTGCAAATGTGCGAGATTTTTTAAGCTGCGTTAAGAAATAATGAAAGATTTTAAATAAGAAACAGGTGAAGCATTAGGATGGAATAGATGAATCCTGAAAATATAATGCACAAAGAATAGCAATAAACGAAGGAAAGGAAACTCTACTATTTGTGAAACTTTTCAGACAGTAAAAACAAACAGCAAAATGTTGTTTAGCAAACGGTAACATTTTCTTCACGGAAAACTTCTTTCAGAATTTAACTTCTAATTTTCTAATTTAACTGCATGCATTTTACATTAAAAAAAATACCTCCCGATTTTTTTAATATTCCCCGAAATGATCAGAAAATTAAAATTTTGATACCAGTTTTGAATTTTTCTAGTTGCATCTTTTTAACTTTTCAAAAAAGCCCTGTATTAGAAAATGACAATAAACAATGCAAATAAATTAACTGGGAAATAATAATCGCTCAATAGAGGCAATGAATACATTATGCTGGAATACTTCGTTCTCAGTATATCATCATTTTTATAATACGTATAAATAGAAAACAAAATGCAAACTTTTTCGAATGCAAGTTTTATATATAAAACTGCTGGCTGGAAAATTGTTGTTAAAAACATTATATCTTTCGTTTAGGAAAGATATTTAGGTTATTTCATTTTTCCTAAAATAAGTAATAAAATGTACAAAACGTGTATCGCTTCCATATCGGAAAACACGCACCAAGCAATTTTCTGTAGAAAGATATATGCTTTGACTAGCTTCAGCAAGAAATCAGTCTTCGTCAACATATTTCGTCTGCGGTAAAATCTTTATAAACGCAAAAATATATCACTTACACTTCAATAACCAGAGAAGGAAATAGAACAACGATTTAAAAACTTTAGAACAATATTTACTTAAAAACAAAGACACTATTATAAGACACAAGAAGAAAAACATGTAACTATAATGTAAAGTTGGCTCATATTCCTTTCTTAGAAAACTGTTTGACATGTGTTTTCTTATTGATGGGAAATATTTTCAAAACTGCTCGATTTTCTTAAGAGTGCCATTTTACGGATTCTTAAATAGACACACTAGAATGGCTTAAATGGGATCCGGTTGTGTATAGCTGGATTTCGATTATTCTAATTATTACAAAGTACTCGACAATTATCTACCTAAGGGAAAGCATGCTTTTGTGAAGCACGTTTTAAGAGAAAATGGCTTGTATTTACCTTACATATACTGCGCGAAGCTCGGCAGAATTTGAATCCAGGTTAAACTACCAGTGTTCAACTATCTTACCGCTCGGCCGCTGGAATATACCTAATTTTAGTTTTAATGCCTACCGTTACAGTTATATTGTTTTAAATCAAATGATTCTGCGAAAATGTGACAAGTATCTGCAAACACAAATCCAGATCCTTTAAAATCCAAAGTAACTAGTAATCATCCTCCAGTTTTCTAAATAGGTTTCAATCAAGTTTCGTGAAAAGTTAACTTGCGGAATATAACTGATTATTGACGTTCAATAACAAATACTACTTTTAATGTATAATAAAGTTAAGTTTCACTCCCACGAACAATTTGCGACTAAATGATTGTTCTGTTCATGAACTGATGCTTATAAAATATTATCCCTATAGACAAGTTATCAATGTTAAATTATTTTAATGACACGAAAATTTTAAAGAAAGTATCGGTGGAACTGGTATAAAAAAAAAAACAATATACGTAAATCGAATTTCGGCTTTGAAATTAACATTAGGTAACTTTTTATAGCTTAAGTATTTTCTGTTAGTTTCCACAACAGAATCTGGGTTTTTGTTGGGGGGGGGGAAGGGGCTGCATTGAAACAAATTAATGATTAAAATTCTAGTATAAAACATATACTTTCATGTATATAATGAAGCATGTTATCACATGCGGCTAAAATACCAAATTTAAAAACTGTGCGGTTAATCTTTGGAATATGGTAATAGGTAGTTTGGCGACATTTTGGTAAGGCGATAAAGGTTTTATTCAAATTTAGCATACTTGCTATCCCCTTAAGGCTCGCTTACCACTGATAGCAACACCCTGCAGTTTATTATGACACGCATACACATAGATGTTTTGCGTGGAAGAAAGGATGAATCCTAGAATATAATGTAGTGAAGAAATAATAATGGCTAATCTTTGGAATATGGTAACAGGTAGTTTGGCGACATTTTGGTAAGGCGATAAAGGTTACTAGCTAGGACTTTAGCAGTGTACATGGATAAAGTCAAGAGTGTGCGCAATGCCATTTTTGTGCAATTCTGGGATGTTTTTTTAAGTGAAACTAGGTCGACGTGTACATGGACGATACCGTGTATGTGCAATTCTGGGATGTTTTTTTAAGTGAAACTAGGTCGACGTGTACATGGACGATACCGTGTATGTGCAATTCTTGAAAACGCGGCAAGCAGTTTGCGATTCTGCATCACTTTCTCCCAATTTCGCACCTAATCTTCGTCATGATTAAGCATTTTTGTTCCATAAAAGTTCTAGTATAAGAGTAATTCGGCTTGCAGATTGTTGGAAAAAATTTTGAGTTAAAAAAAAAAAAAAAAAAAAAATGCCTTTACTTCGTGAAAACAAAATGGCGTCCAAAACATAACTAGCAGGTTGCTGTAGCAGGGTTGGTCGCCAAATTTTCACCAAAAAATCGCCAAGTTACCATAATCCAAAGATTAACCAACTGTGTTACTAAAGCTCTCGTAGATTAATAATTTACAAAGTAAAGTTATTGATTAAGGATGTGAAACAATTCTATTTCATAGTTATAGTTCTAATACATTACTATTTGCCATAAAATCAAGCAACTTATTGTATTCCATATAACACACAGCGTTTAATAAATATTTTGAGAAACAGAAGCCAAATTACAAATTGCATTTGCTGTATATTATTAAAATAATATGTATATATAATGTCTACGATAAACTTTGGCAATTAGAAACAGCATAATTCATTAAATTAAACTTTGATATTTAAGAGAACTTTCGATTACTTAACAGGAAAACATGATAAATAATTATAATATACCTGTAATGAATGGAAGAATATACTAATTAAAACACGCCACGCGTATTGGTACGAAAAGGCTAATTTACAGACAACACAACTGTACGGTTGCTGTGTGTCTATTTATACCTCTGATGCCAAATTAAAGGCTTAAATTTATGTTTAATAAAAATTTCAGTTGTGTGCTATCTTGTTCCAAATGTTAAAACGGAATTTCTCCGAAAGAAATTAATTTTTACCATTTAAATTATTTGAATTTAATGCAAGGGAAATAAAATATATTTAAATTCGTTAATAATAATAAAATATTAATCTCTTATTAGAAAGGTTGTTTTCTTTATTCTGATGACATCTTTCCAGCTACTGTCTTAATATTTTGAATGAAAGTTGTATTATTGTCTCAAGTAAACATATTTCAAAACTTTACTAGTGTAGAAAATTCTGTTTGCACTAATTATTGTGAGAATAAAAGGATAAATGTTGAATTATAAGTCCTGACGGAAATGTGAAGAAAATTTGAGAAAGCCGTAAAATTTTTAATTCAGTATTCATGCTTTTCGTACTATTAATTTACCTTTTTTTAGCCCAAAGAGAAAATTTGCCCAGAAGGGCTATTAATTTCGTTTTGGCATTTTGCGTTGATTCACTATAAACGGCGCATCACTTTTTCGATTGTTGCCACCAAAATGTCATCGCCCTGTATTATATTTAAAGAAATTAAATAATGAAGAATCTGCATGAATGTATATATGTTTCTCGCACTGTGATAAAACAACGATACCTAGAGCCACCAAATTCTGAATAACGTACATCTCCACCCGAATATTGGAATCTGGAAACTCAAATTTGTAATATGCTTTATTATCTGATTTATATTTTGTAAAGCATTTATGAGTTTTTGATTAAGAAACCCAATGATTTCAAAACGAGCAATGGCAACACTGTACGAAAAAAAGAAAACATTTTTATCCTCAGCGAGCGAGGACTGTGTATCGAAAATTCTAAAGATATGCTCTTTGAAATATTTTGTGATACTGCTGTTGAATTGAACTTTATGGTTTAAGTGCGAAGAATATGATATTTAATAAATAAAAGTAACACGCATAACGTTAAAAAAAAGCCCCTTTGGGAGTAATATAAAATCTGAAAGCTTTCAGACTTTTTTTTTTTTTTTTTTTTCCATACACATATATAATAGTATCTCTTTTTAGAAGTATCCCACAAACTTGTTACCTGGGATTGTAAGTAGTTAACAATAACTTCCTCCGATTGTGCTTAAAATTACAATGTTATAACATCAAATTTGTAAGATAAATTATTTATGTTTTTTGGTCAGGAGCACTCGAAGTTCAAAGTACATTTTTAAAGAAAATTAATAAGTTGGTTTTACAAATAAACCGTACAAATAAGTGGAAGTTTATATCTTATTAAACCAAGCCAAGACAGCTACACCAACACCTGCACAGGAGGATGCCCTCAATTTTGCAGTATATTACTTAAATTATAAACACTATATTTTATTGCCTAAAATTAGATATACTATAGTTAGGCCTGAAAATGCAGAGTATCTTTCCGTTTTCGTTACCATTATTATACTATTTGTTTGCTTTTTAATGAATGTCTCGTTATGGCTGTAGGCAAAACTTCGAAAATATTTCTTCAGTACCATATGATAAGCATTTGTAGTGGAGTCAATGAGTAGTAATATGTTAAGTAAATGAGTAGTAACGTGTTAAGTATACACATTTTCATGTCTAGAATAAGTAGACTGTTATATTACACAAGGAGCAGATCTTCGAAATTTGTGAATAATTTTCTACGAGCTACGTTCTTTCAGATTCTATATACAGGGTGATTCAAAAACATCCCGCAAAAATGTAAATGTAGGAACAGGGGGCCGAAATGAATAGATTTTGGGCTGAAATGGTGTATTATAAAGAACACTGGCTCAATGATAGATAAATGCGTTCATTTAGAGTAAATCATCATTACCCGCGCGAATTTCGAGCGAACGCTGACCTTGCCGATATGCGTTTTATTATGGTGCTGCGGATGGAGACAGAGCAGCTGCTCCGTTTCAGCTGCAGCCCACAGTTAAAATGCATGCTCAGTTCAACTTCCCGTGCAACATCTCAACGTGTCATTCCGTACACATAACATCACAAAATCTGTTCATTTCTGTCCCCTCTACCTACCTTTATAATCACACTTTACATGTTTCCGTTTTAGTATGTTTTTAAGTATTAATCCTTTTTCACACTTTATATTAAATGTAGATAAATATTTTAAATTATTTGAAAAAATTATATTTTATTGTTATTACATGAATACATATTTGAGAAATTATATTTTATGAAGCATAATTTTTCATTATTTTCAAGTAACAAATATACTATTTGAAATTCTAACACATAAATGGCATAGGCTCTGAACTATTTATCCCAAATGTATCATAAATTTTGTATTGGAAAACTTGCCTGCAGTAGCATTTTACATAATTCTAAATTCGTTTGATATTCTTCAAAGAACTTTTTCTAATAAGTGCGCTTTTAAGTCATTCTGAGATTCGAAAAAATAAACAAATAAATAAACTATATAATTTTAGAGAGTTATTCATATAATTCTCTTAAAAATTCACAACCTTTTTCTATAAAATGGCAACTATGAGAAAAAGAAAAAAAAAGTTTTTCGCTGTTTAATTAGATTTCGTTACACATCAGAATCCATTCAAAGATGTTTCAACAAACTCAGGATTCACAATTTACATTTACTTTAAGTTTATGTTCAAGGAAAACATTAAAAGAAATTCAGGGGGGCCTCAGTTGTGTTGCTACTTTATAATCCTTAACTGCAATGTCTCTATAAAAGGTTTTTAGATAAGTAGAGGATTGAAGTAAGAATTTTCTTTGTAACTATACTTTAAATGAAAATTCATTGTTTGCTGTGCTTATCAACCTAAGATCGCTTCTCAAGTCTATATTCATTAAAAACTTTTATTCGTTTATTACTAAAAGGGGATCCTATCGGTATGAAATTCTTGCGTGAATTCTCACTATTAAACATATCAAAAAAGAATTAATCCCATCACAAAATAATGAACACATGCATTTTTAAAATGTAACAACGGTTCTCCTTTTGTTTTTCTGGCCCACCAGCGGCCAAGCGATAATATCGCTGAACACTGGTAGTTCAGTCCGAGGTTCGAATCCCGCGAACGGGCTGGCTGCATGGGCGTTTTCGTGGTTTTCCCCATGTGTAACGTGTATACGAGCCAGTTTCCCTTTGAAAGTCTTCCACGAAGGTATCCCTCCCCTTAGACAGATAGCCCTAGTGTGCTTTGCCGTATTCTCAATACACACACACACACACACCTGTTGTTTTTCTTGTTAATGAAACACCTGCAAGTAGAATGTTCGAATTTCAAACTACAGATTCTGCATCCTAAATAAAAAAAAAATAATAATAATAATAATTTTTTTTTTTAATTAAATAAATAAAAAACCTAAAAACCTTTATTTATTGAATATCATGTCCTTTGCACTTAAACCATAAAATTCAGTTCAACGACAATGTAGCAAAATAGTTTTAAAATGAGCCTATCTTTAGAATTTCTGATACACAGTTCTACCCGCTAGAAATAAAGTGGTTTTTTTTTTTTTTTTTTTTTTTTTTCCTTAGAGTGTTGCTATTGCTCGCTTTTAAATTGTTGAGTTTGTTACTCAAAAATTCGTTGAAGTTTTACAAAATATGAAGTCGATAATAAAACAAATTCCAAATTTCAAATTTGGTCTTTCATATGCCCATATTCGTAGGAGGATTACGTCATTCAAAACTCGATGGATCTATGTACCGTTGTTTTATCACAATGCGAGAAATATACATACATTTATGCAGATTTTTCATTATTTAAATTCTCCAAATATAATGCAGGACTCTAACATTTGGTGGCAACAGTTTGAAAAGTGATTCGCCGTTTGTAGTGAATCGACGCAAAATGGCAAAACGAAAACAGTATTTTTTTTAGTTCTTCAGGGACAAAACCCGTTTGGACTAAAAAAAAAATATTCTTAGAAATAAACCGGAAAGGAAGGTTGATTGGATTATCTTTAGAATGAAATTTTGCGTCCATGAACTAAAATTTCAGGCAAATTCGAACTACGGAATAATGCATGTTTATAAAATAATGCAAAACTGAATTAGAAAATATAAAACTATAATGAAAGCTGTAACAGCAAAATTTTTAAAATAATGATTTACAATCATATTGCCTTCAAGAGAGAAACTGCCTTGCAGTTTTTAAGGGAATGGGAGCCGCCCAACCGGTATAGTGGATAGCGTCGCTGATTGCCGCCCCGAAAGGCCCGAGTTCGAATACCGGAGAAGACATAGATTTTTGTAAATATGCAGTATCGGTGAGGCATGGCGGCACTCTAAATATGCGAGACGAAAATACTCTCGTGTGGCTTGGTGAAAAGAGAGAGGGGCGAGATGTCCTAAGACCCTCCCTCGGACCCGTACCCCGAGGTGCTCTCCAGCAAAATTGGGGAGGGGAGAACTGAACCGCGCTGTCGCCTATAAGGTGCTCAAGGCTGTTGCCAATGATAGGCGTAGCTTGCTCTCCTTGCCACGAGGAATAAGTGATGCTATTGTCAGACAAGGGAGCATAAGTAACAACAAGGGAATGGGACTATTTACCGTCGCGGTTTCGTTATCATGCCAATTCGCCGAAGGTACATTCGTGAAGGTATATTTTTCATTACATGACTGTATTATATTTTGCCGCGTTATCTTAAGATTGACGTAAATGTTAACTGATTAGTATATCCGTTTACATATTTATTAATTTCAAGAGAGTAATGTGATACCAAATTCCGTTTTCAATTAAGATTTCATATCAATGTAAACTTCTTGCTTGCATGAGTGATAACTCTGACCTTGCTGATTAAAATTTTAAGAAATTTTGATGAATCGTGTAAATATTGTATCTGCGTAATTTTAGAAACGATAATATAATTTATGCTATGTCAGAGGTTTAGCCTATAATTATGAAACGTAATAAAATTTTCTATTTGATACTGGCATAAATTTCTAACAACTACGTGT